GTTGCGCACAATTGTGAGCAAAAGCGTAACCGGATTTAAAATCAATGTCCACATGTTCAATTTGAGGAATATTCATATGCAATTTGATTCCCAGCAATTTCCCATTGTGACTGATCAATGACACGTCCTGGAAATGTTCAGCAACGGAACTATGGGAACAAATCGCACAACTAAGGTGCACGCATAATTGACGCAAAGGTGTTGTCATTTCAATTTGACTCAATGTCTGTTGCAGAAAGTTGCAAAAGATTCAGAAATTGTTGTCAGCCGATTTTCCGGAGTATATCCAGCCGTTTGAAAATATCGATCATTCAGAATGTATCGCTGTTGATACTCCTGAATGCGGTTCAATTCCAAAGCATTCTTCAGTCTGTTGTGCGAATCATGAAGATCTTTGGCTAAACGTTTTAACATCAACGTGTAAACCTGATTCCAATCAGTATCTGTCGGGGTGGCCATGTTCTCTTCCAAAGAAGTGCAGGACCTGGCTACAACAGAATGCACAAACAGTTGAGAAAACATTGGATGAGGAACTTCCAAAATGGTTTCCCCAGCAATGAAAAAGGAGATCAAAGTTGCTGGAAGTTTCGAATTATGGAAATAAGTACTTTGAACAGGAACACCATCATAATCATGCTGTCGAACGGCAGAACCCAACTGAGCCCCTGCAGAAGTTGGCGATGTCGATCGTAGTTGAGAACTATAGGGCCCCGACTGGTTGTCCACTGTCTGCCTTCTCCGCGTAGGCATTGAATCACATTGATTGGGTCCCGGGCCAGAAATTGAGTGTCCGACCGTAGACGAAGTTCCCACCCGAAAAGTGCAGGGTTCCGGACCAGAAACATCCGCTTGTGGACCCCGACATGGTTGGCACACAGATAAACAGGAACATGGTGAGTTCATCAGTGTTGGATTTACCGTCATCATCATGTGTTGAAAATTCCACATATTTTGTTGCATTTCAGCCTGTCGTTCAGCATCGAAAATCTGACCCATAATAGGAACTAGCTGATCAGATGTAGCAGCTTCTATGCGGTATTAGCGACACCCCCGATGTTTTTGGAAAAGCTGATGATCCTCTCTCTTGAATATTCTGAACATTTGCAACAGGATGATGAGGAGGAGGAAGAGGCAAAGGTGTAGATCGAACTGGGATCTGTCCAGTAGAAAATGCTTCAGAAGACGGCAAAAGGGTGGACCACGACTCTTAGGAAACATGGCTCGAAAACATCAAAACTGGCACCAATGAGAGTCGAAATTTGAAAATTGAAAAATTGAACAATGAAGGTATCCTTATGAGTTGAAACACAAAAGATGGCTGAGAGTCGGACCAAAAAGGGACCAAAAGCACTTGAATTGCACCCGTGGTGCTGGGAACTTCGACTTATGTCTGCTTTGTCCGAACTGGACGAAGACTTCTGCCTTATGGCTACTTCGCCTTATGGCTGCTTCGATTGGATTTTACAGTGTAAAATCTTGACTCCGTCATATGACGCTTGAAATGCACTCGAAGTGCATACGGCTTCGGAGATTCATACTCCACTCGGAATACGGGAAAATGCCCGCTCATGACTTTTTGATTGGTCGAAACCAACCGACGGTGCGACCAAGTTAGGTCAAACACCCAGGACACACTGTGGGGTAATGGCCAGTAAAAGGTGTGAATGATGTCATAGTCTTCGCCTGATTTCCTGAGTTGCCTGGCAGTAGAATTTCAGCGGACACAGATTCACGATCGAAGAAACAACGCACAGCTCATAAACAAGAACAGAAAGTTAACAGTTGAAACTATAGCAGGTACGTAGATCAGGCGTCCCTGATCTATATCCTTACCACATGTCACCCAGCTTCGTTGGCAGAGGAAGTGACATGGGTACCTCTGCCCCCTGCTTTTTAGAATAGTACAAGAGCAATGAAAAGAACTAAAACCGTTTGTTATAACGGTGTACACACACACATACACACACACACGCACGCACACACACGCACACACACACACACGCTTTTCTTTTACACACACACACAGAGGCTTTTACACACAGACGCGTGCACAGAGGCTTTTACACACAGACGCTTTTACACACAAACACTTTCACACACAGAGGCTTTTACACACAGAAGCCTTTACACAGAGACCCCTTTACACACAGACGCTTTTACACACAGAAGCTTGTACACACAGTTGCTTTTACACCCAGACGCTTTTACACACAGACACTCTTACACACAGACTTTTTTACACAAACGCTTTTACACACAGACACTTTTACACACAGACACTTTTACACACAGACTCCTTTACACACAGACGCTTTTACACACAGACACTTTTACACACATACACTTTTACACACAGAAACTTTTACACAAAGAGGCTTTTACACACAGACGCTTTTACACACAGACACACTTACACACACGCTTTTACACAGACGCTTTTACACACAGACGCTTTTACACACAGACGCTTTTACGCACAGAAGCTTTTACACAGAGACTTTTACACACAGACGCTTTTACACACAAACGCTTTTACACACAGACGCTTTTACACACAGAAGCTTTTTCACACAGACTCCTTTACACACAAACACTTTCACACACAGAGGCTTTTACACACAGACACTTTTACACACAGACGCTTTTACACACAGACCCTTTTACACACGAACACTTCCACACACAGAAGCTTTTACACACAGACTCCTTTACACACAGACGCTTTTACACACAGAAGCTTTTACACACAGAAGATTTTACACACAGACGCTTTTACACAGAGGCTTTTACACACAGACACTTTGACACACAGACGCTTTTACACACAGATGCTTTTACACACAAACACTTTTACACACAGAGGCTTTTACACACAGACGCTTTTACACACAGACACTTTTACACAGACGAAAGCGTTGCGATTGACCAAGTAAAATCGCAATTTTTCCTTAGTTTTTGACGTCCAACGGCCATTTCGTGCGAAAGGGTTGCGATTGACCAAGTAAAATCGCAATTTTTCCTCAGTTTTTGACGTCCAACGTCCATTTCGTGCGAAAGGGTTGCGATTGACTAAGTAAAATCGCAATTTCTCGTCAGTTTTTGACGTCCAACGTCCATTTCGTGCGAAAGGGTTGCGATTGACCAAGTAAAATCGCAATTTTTCCTCAGTTTTTGACGTCCAACGTCCATTTCGTGCGAAAGGGTTGCGATTGACTAAGTAAAATCGCAATTTTTCCTCAGTTTTTGACGTCCAACGTCCATTTCGTGCGTAAGGGTTGCGATGGACTAAGTAAAGTCGCATTTTTTCATCAGTTTTTGACGTCCAACGTCCATTTCGTGCGAAAGGGTTGCGCCGGACGCTTCAACGTCGCAATTTTTCCTCAGTTTTTAACATCCAACGTCCATTTCGTGCGTAAGGGTTGCGATTGACTAAGTAAAATCGCAATTTTTCCTCAGTTTTTGACGTCCAACGTCCATTTCGTGCGAAAGGGTTGCGATGGACACTTCAAAATCGCAATTTTACCTAGGTTTTGGACGTCCAACGTCCATTTCGTGCGAAAAGGTTGCGTTTCGTGGCGCTCCGGCGGCACCGCCCCGCCTTAAGAGAGAATAGAAGAAGAGCGAGAGGAGATCTGCAGATGTGAAGGTGTGAAGATGCAGATCTGCAGATGTGAGGGTGTGAAGATCTAGATCTGCAGGTGTGAGGGTGTGAAGATCTAGATCTGCAGATGTGAAGGTGTGAAGATCTACATCTGCAGGTGTGAGGGTGTGAAGATGTAGATCTGCAGGTGTGAAGGTGTGAAGATGTAGATCTGCAGATGTCAGGGTGTGAAGATGTAGATCTGCAGATGTGAGGGGGTGAACTTCTAGATCTGCAGGTGTGAAGGTGTGAAGATCTAGATCTGCAGGTGTGAGGGTGTGAAGATGTAGATCTGCAGGTGTGAAGGTGTGAAGATGTAGATCTGCAGATGTCAGGGTGTGAAGATGTAGATCTGCAGATGTGAGGGTGTGAAGATCTAGATCTGCAGGTGTGAAGGTGTGAAGATCTAGATCTGCAGGTGTGAGGGTGTGAAGATGTAGATCTGCAGATGTGAGGGGGTGAAGATGTAGATCAGCAGATGTGAAGGTGTGAAGATGTAGATCAGCAGATGTGAGGGTGTGAAGATGTAGTATAACGGCTGCTTTTTTACGAAGAACCCTTCGCAGGCGCTCTCGGGAAAAATGCTTGAAACTTGTGTAAAAACATGTCTTTTTTGCCGAGCGAAGGTGCGATCTCCAACTGTTTCCAACCGTTTCCCCTTGGACACCTTTGGACCCTCAAAAAAAAAACGGCGTTGCGCGGAAATGCCTTTAAAAAAAATGCGGGTTGAACAAGTTTTGGCCTGGTCATGTTTCCGACCGTTTCCGACCATTTCATTTTTTCTGAACGATTAATTGGACCAATTCCATTTATGGAAGGCTGATCCAATGCGAACCCGTGCAAACCATGACGCTTAAGTTTTTTGGTACCACCCTTGTGCGCGTACACTGCACCAAATATTGCATCTTGACCTTGATATCCAATATTCCCTAAAAATCACAAAATCCCAGGAGCTCGTGAAATTTAATAATATCTATCTATCGATCTATCTATCTATCTATCTATCTATCTCTCTCATCTATCTATCTCATCTATCTACCTACCTATCTATCTATCGATCTATCTATCTATCTAAGACATCGAAGCTTCGGTAATCGATTCTTGCTTTTAAGTCTCTAAGTCCAATCCAGTATTTCCAGCCCAATACAATTAATTGACCTAATTCATTGGATCATACCTAATCTCTATGTATATATATATATACGCATATATATATACTATATTATACATGTTTATATATATTTATATGCATATCTGATTATCTATTCATCCATGGAATTAAAGGAAGCCATGAGCTTTTGCCAACGGAGACTGATTCTGAGTGGATGGGTGGGTTGGTCAGAGATCCCTCGTGGCCAAGGCTTGGGGGCAGCAACAACTTCCCGAGTTGCTTCACATTTTTGAATCGCAGTTGGACAGCAAGGCCGGCAGAAAATCCGGACTGGCAGATGTCGTTGCTTTGCTGGAGATACTTGCTGAAAGAACATCCATGAACATCCAATCATATCCCATGAGCATAATGATAATCCATGATAATCATGAACACACATGAAAAACCCATCAAAAGTCCAAAGTTCTGATTCCATCGCCGAAAACTTACAATTTTTCAGATTTTTCCAAGCGCGGTGGTACACCTCGAGGTGTCGTTAAGGCCCTGGCCAAGTTCGTTGATCTTTAAAGATGAAAGCTGGAGTCATACCAAGGCCCGACGTCGCCCTGAAAGCCACCGGGTGGTTTCAGCTGGGAAAGAACTGGATATGTGATTTTCATGTTCAACCAATTTTGGAGATGGTGTTTCCCAACAAATCATTGACACACACACACATATATATATAGAGAGAGAGAGGAGAATAGGAGAGAGAAATGCATATCTGCATTCGTATACACATACAGATATTATTTTGCAAGAGTGTTGACACAACCAAACACTTATGATGCTTCAGAACCTTTCATTTATGTCTGTCCACGTCCAAGGGCCAAAATTCAGCAACATAAAATTCACAGACTTTATCTCTGCACCGAAACAAGTTTAATTGTTCTTTCTTTCGCTTTTTCAACGCTTCTGCTTTTCACTGTTGTATGAATATTCGCAAAAAGCTCGATGGTTTGCCTCCCGCTCACGCCTCACTCGCGTATGAATCAGACAATTGGGGTAAGTACCCAAAACTTGGTTAAAAAAATGGATGGTTGATACAAATGTGACAGTCAAAATCACCACATCATATTATTATAATGTCACACCCCAGTATTGGATAGTATTGGCTTCACTAGTTCCACTGATCATTGGATTGGTTGAAGTCTACAGGAAACCATGGATTTCCCCATTAAATATGGGGTTTTCCTGTAAACTTTCCTTAAACCAATCCGTTGAACTGAGAAAACTACCATTGAACCTTCTCCTTCAGCGCGCGCGCGCTCTGGCTCCGAGGCCGTGTTTATAGGGCTGCACATCCAGCAAGCGGAGCAGAAGTGCACGCTTGACCTCAGGGTGCCTGGGCGGGCAACTGGGTCTAGATCCCACTGGTGATTTAACGTAGTGAACTGGCACATCACCATTTAAAAATGGGTAAGTTATTATGGTGATAGTATATCATCTAAGTATAATTATATCATCTAATCATACCTAAATCATCTAATCATCGAAGGAAGTTTAGAAGTCAAACTTCCGACAATATGGACAGATGAAAAGCAGAGATGGGAAGAGTCAGAGAAGAGAAGAGAAGAAGAAAGAAGATCAAAAAGAGAAAGTCTCCGAAGAAAGATGATCCAGGTGCGCGAAAAGGTAGGAAAGTCACGAAACACTGTGTTTTTCCAATGATTTGTGGCTCCGGAGGGTCGAAAAGTAGGCCCGCAAAAGCGGCAAGTGCAGAGGCATGTAGTCAGGTGAGGGATGACAAATTGCACGCCGTTGTGGCGCGAAGCACGTTTCGAAGTAAAAACGTACAAAACACACGTTGTGGCGCGAAGCACACTTCGAAGTCCAAATGTGCAAAAAAATTACAAAACACCATGTTCGGACCACTTTGGTAAGTTGAGATGTCGAAAAAGTGCGCCCCGTTGTGGCTCGAAGCACACTTCGAAGTCAAAAGTGTAAAATTCTGACGGGTTCGGAGCACTTTTGGAAGTTGAGATGTCGAAAAAGTGCACGCCGTTGTGGCGCGAAGCACATTTCGAAGTAAAAATGTTAAAAGCACCACATGCTCGGACCGCTTTTTGATGTTCAGATGTCGTTTCGCGTGGCAGGCGCAAGGGATTGTGCACCTTTTCAAAAGTGAGCAAAACGTGAGGGTTTTGTAGCATTTCCAAAAACGATGGCAGGCGTGGGACATTTGAAGAGGATCTGCAAAGATGCATTTCGCGTGGCAGGCGCAGTACAAAAGACATGTTCATCAGAGATGTTAGGAGGTCTGGGCATGTCTGGGCGCTGATTTCCTGAGAGGGGTTGCATTTTGGAGCATCAGATCTGTAGGTTTGCTAAGATGATTTTGCGTGACAGGTGCAGCACTTCGTATGACCTGGCATCACTTTTTCGTGGCAGGCGCAGTAGTTTAGACAGATTAGACAGGTGGAGTGGAAAAATCGCAAGAAACGCATTGGTACGAGGCCGTCAGCTCTGCACTCAACTTTCCATTTTTGAAGGACGTCTCGCAGAATTGCTTCGTTTTTGATGTTGTCAACTTCGAACATTGAGGAAGTCTCGCAGAATTGCTTCGTTTTTGACGTTGTCAAGTTCAAAAATTGAGGACGTCTCGCTGAATCGCTGCGTTTTTGATGTTGTCAAGTTCAAAAACGGAGGAAGTCTCGCAGAATAGCTTCGTTTTCAAGCTTGCAGATAGACAGACAGACAGATAGATAGATAGATAGGTAGGTAGATAGATAGACAGAAAGATAGACAATTAAAACTAATTACAACAACTACAACTGCCATAAACTACACCTCCGCTACAACTACGAATACAAATATATTACGCTAAATTACACTACACTAATTACACTACACTACGCTAATTACATCTAATTACACTACACCGCACCAAGTAAACAACAACAGCAGCAGCAACAACAACAACAACTGCCACAGCTACAACTACAAGTACAACTACACTACGCTACACTACACCACACTACACCACACTACACTACATTACACTACACTAGACTACGCATACTACACTACATTACACTACACTACACTACACTAATTATACTAATTACACTGCTCTACGCTACAACTACAACTTCACTACACTACACAAATACACTACACTACACTAATTATACTAATTACACTGCTCTACGCTACAACTACAACTTTACCACACTACACAAATACACTGCACTACACTACAGCTACAACTACACTACCTTACACTAGGCTACACTACACTATACCACACTACACTACACAACACTACACGACATTACGCTGCACTATGCTACACTAATTACACCACATCACGAATACAACTGCAACTGCGCTTGCAAATGCGCTAGTTACACTACATTACAGCTACAGCTCCACTACATTACACTACACTACACTACAACTACAGCTACATCTGCAACTACAACTACAACTGCACTACACATCACTACACCATACTACATCCAGCAGTTGTGGTAAGGTGACCACTGCAACCGTTGCAACCACTCCAAAAAAAACACAACTCCAACCACCTGTCGGCCCATCAGTGGATTCCCTCTGCCATCCGTGACTCACAACAACGAATCTCTCCTATAGGTTTCCTATTTTTGAAACTTCCGCCACCGCCTTGTGCGGTACTACTGGTATATCATCTAATTATAACCCCCCCATTCTCCCCCAAACAAAGTAGTGTTCGTACTAAAAGTTGAGGCCTGACACCCACGTTTTTTTTTAAAAAATCTAAGTCTGGCCGAACAAGTTGCCTAATTGAAAACAAATACATCTTGAGAAAAAGCTTTTGTACTTTAGTATGGCCAAACAAGATGCCTTATTGAAGACGCATGTAATATTGAGAAAGCTTTTCGCTGCCTGTTTAGGAAGATCCCCAAAATCGGGGTAGATTATTTAGGGGGCCACTTCATTTAGGGCATTTTGGGCTCGAGATAGCAAAAGTATGCAAAAGTAATTTACTGTCAAGGGGATTTGGAAGCTAAGTATATTCACACGATTTTTTCCCACAGAAAAGAATCAGTTAGTTTAGGGGTGCCAAAACATTGCTTGTTATTGTGGTTCCGAGGCGATTCAAGGCTACCGCCAGTGCGCGACTGTTTCTTCACAGTTTGAAAAAGGGATTAAAGAAATCGATCAGTTCAAATCTTTCGGAATTAAATTCAGATTTGTGAGGTCAGATTCGCAAAATCGCGAGGGAAACATCTTCAAATATTGGAAGAAAAACAAAGCAACCGGTTGACTCGCCGCCCTTGTAAGGGTGACAAATTTGAAAAAAATAGACTTTCGAGGCTAAGAGGCAAATTGCTGGTATTTGTGCGACTTGTCCAAAAATGTTTGAAACATGGACATTCATGTCGACTGGCAGGTGTGTGACTCAAGTGTCAAAATTTCGGTTTCGCCTGCGCGGTGAATCGATTTTGTTCTTCGAGGGCTAAAAAAACACATTAGAAATTTATGATTTTCAATTATCCCATGCAAACATCCACCCATCCATGTCTTTTCTCTTCTTGAAGCCTCAGTGCCAAAGTGCTTTCGGCAACGCCACGGCAACAGACTCCAACAAGGCGAATCAAGGCGACATTATGACGCCATGTCCAGCTGTAAGCCCAAGAGTACCTTTTTGTGCGCACAACGGACACAAGTTCCCTGGGCCATGTATTATACTCCTCAAGAACGTTATCACCCCCCTCCGAACCCCCCTGATGACCATAAGAGAGAATGTGCAACATGTTCACAACGGCAACAAGTTCCGTTGGCCATGTAAAATACTCGTCAAGAACGTTATTACCCCCCCACCCCCCAGTCCCCTTGATGACCTTAAGAGAGCATGTGCAACATGTTGAACAAAGGCGACATGCAAATCCTGAACCCCCATTTTCGCAAACTTCATTTTTCAAATTTGCAACCGTTCCACGGGATCGTACATGGCACACCTCAAAATATGCAACCCTTCCAAGACCGGCGTATCAGCCGCATGCCAAAAACAACAACCCCAAAAACGGTTTGCGTACTTTGTTACGGAGGGGTCATTACTTTGTCCCGCGGTTTGTTGTACTTTTTTGGGATCGGGTTTACCAATGCGGTGTCAACATTAGATATCTATAGACCCTCCAAGTACCCTCTAAAATGGTGTTTACCACCCACAGTTTTAGTGCGGTTACTTTTTTGGATTTTTTGGGTGGTATTCGGAGGAGCTAGGTTTATATAATATGATATGATATAATAAGAACAATGATAGTAACTGTTTAATAACAATGAAAATAAGAAGAAACATATATTTATGCATGCATGTATTGACTGTATTGAATATATATTTATATATATATATTTATATTTAAATTTATTTATTATTTGACAGATGGCGATTGAGAGGGAGAGAGATATATAGATAAATAAATAGACAAATAAACAAATCAACAAATAAATATAAATGTATATGTGTATATTTAAATATATATATATATGCAAATATATATATATACAGATGTATTTATTTATACATGTATAAGAGGTACAGAGGGAAAAAGGGTGATGATTGGTATATAAGATATGTGTGTATATATATATTATTATATGTATATATACGTGTATGCTATGTTTTATTGAAAAGTGTTGCCAATTGATACTTTCAAAGAGTGATAATTTACCGAATTGGTATTGATATGGATATAAATGATATATTTATCACTCGTGATGACGATCATTAAGCGTCATAACCCCATCACCCGTTCATAGATCCAATCCCCCCATTCTATTGTCCCAAATATGTGATTTCATCCCGTAATATCCCATACTTTTTGCCCGTTCTTACCGTGGTTTCTGGGCGCACCTCTTTTAACTGAAACCACCAAACGTGTCGCAGGAGATCATGGTCAAGTTCCTGGAAAGGATCTCTGCATGGCCCGAAGCAGCTACTTGGAATCAGGCGGCTTAATGGCCTCCATGGAGATATTCCCTCCACGCGTGGGTATTCACAGTAAACACCATAAATGGTCATATTATATGTGTATATATCGTTGTATATATATATATATATTATACACACCTATACCCTCCAAGTAACTTGTCCAACTACCCATAAAAAAAGTGTTTTACCCCATAGTTGTAGCAATTAGTTTTACGATGTATGTTTGATATTTGGAGGGCCTATGATTAATCATGATTAATCGATTAGGGTTCAGACGTCTAGAGGCGTGCATTCATTGGAAAATTGGAAAATTTTCAATATGATGAAAAAACACAAAAAAAAAACGCACCAGGAAAAATAACAAACAAACAAGAAACAAATTGCACCAGGGCAGAGCGGGAGACAGCCAATTCCGAACAAATGGGCCGATGATCCGCAAAGTAAAAACGCCAACAAGATGCCCTAGTGAAGTATACAGGTTAAATAGGTATACCATGTTCGTATTGTATGACATTATATATATATATACATATATCATCGTTTGTCGATGGGCAGTACGTTCCGAAACTGTTTGTATACGATTTGATGGTCGTCGTTTGGAGTCCTTTGTTAAGGATGTTGGAACTATGGACCCCTAAGCTTTCGCACCCCACATGGGCATGGTAAAAAGTAGGGGATCCCAACGATGATCAAAAACCAACATATAAGAAGTACCAACATAATGGGAACCCAAAAATGGAGGTGTTAGATATGATTCTATGAACGGGGATGAGGAGTCCTAGTGAGAGGATGATACCTTTTGATTTCGCAGTGTAGCCTTCTGGAACTGAGTGGTATGTTTGCTGCCTGTTCGGCCGGCTCCGGCCCAGCAACTGATTAAAAAGTGGGCGCCAGAGAAAGAGCCGCGTAAGGAAAAACACAGGAAGCAAGCACAGGTTCAAGCATTTTGGGGGTTGATAGGAATTGGATTTCATAGAAGGCTCAAGGATTTTCATGTTTTTGGCATATGTTTTTTCCAAAAATCCTGTGATCTCCAATGAGTCACGTCTAGAAGGCCTGACTGCTAGAATTCAGGCTGCCGAATCTGCAGCTGAATCGATCACATCAACGTGGCATGATTTTGAGACCCCAAAACTCAGCCGCTTGCGATTGAACATCTGGAAAATCATGATTTTGTGTAGCTACATCATCTATAACATCCATCAAGGGGCAATTCTAATCACTTGATTTCACCATGTTTCACTTAAATGTTTAACAAATGAAGAAAGATGGTTCATGGTTGTTTTTATTGCATGGTGAATCATAGTATCATAGTTCATAAATGATATAAATGTTAATAGTTGATGGCAAATAATAGGGGTTAGCAAACAGAATCCCAAAGGGACACACCTTTGTGACGTGCTGACGACGCCCCCAAGGAGGCTCACCAGAAGCAGTTTGAGCTGATGATTCGCGCTGTGTCGTCGCAGGAAATGCAGTCGTGGCTGCGAGACCAAGGTGATGACCTGGCCAGGGATTGGACGTGGAAACTGGTGGAACTGGCATCTGAAACCCAATTTGGTTGATGATTTCTATGATTAAATCCATTTGTTGAAAGGAACATAAAGAACGCAAAACAATCATAAAGAATGATATTTTGGATGGGAGGGCTAATTATTTTAGGATTTTTTTTTTCAGGTTTAGGAATTATTTTTGGATTCCTGCTTCTCTGCTTTTCCTGCTTTTCCTGCTTCTCTGCTTTCCTGCTTTTCCTGCTTTTCCTGCTTTTCCTGCTTCTCTGCTTTTCTGCTTTTTTGCTTTTCTGCTTCTCCTGCTTCTCGCCTTTTCTGCTTTTTTGCTTTTCTGCTTCTCCTGCTTCTCTGCTTCTCTGCTTTTCTGCTTTTTTGCTTTTCTGTTTTTCCTGTTTCTTTGCTTCTCTGCTTTTCCTGCTTTTCCTGCTTCTCTGCTTTTCTGCTTTTCCTGCTTCTTTGCCTTTCTGCTGTTTTGCTTTTGTGCGTTTCCTGTTTCTTTGCTTCTCTGCTTTTTTGCTTCTCTGCTTTTTTTTTGCTTTGCCTGCTTTAAATACTTGATTTTCATGTAAGATGCATTTTGCACAGTATTTACATCCCTGAGTATCACATGACCAACCTTCTCTTGAAAACTAGCAACGTAACATGTGAGAAGAGGTGCTTGCATTCTGCTTTGGGGGGAGGCGCTGCGCCCTCCCCCCAATCCCCCCCTCCCGCTTTTTTTTATTTAAACTTAAACCCAAGTTACATTAGTTGGTTTTTGCGAACTAACCTTCTCTGGAAAGCTGACAGGATTACATGTGATAGATAGATAGATAGATAGATAGCTGGATAGATAGATAGCTTGGTAGATAGATAGCTAGATAGATAGATAGATAGATAGATAGATAGAGCTAGATAGATAGATAGCTAGATAGATAGCTAGATAGATTGGCTAGATAGATAGCTAGATAGATAGATAGCTAGATAGATGGCTAGATAGATAGCTAGATAGATAGATAGCTAGAGAGATAGATAGCTAGATACCTCGATAGATAGATGGCTAGATAGATAGCTAGATAGATAGATGGCTAGATAGATAGCTAGATAGATAGATAGCTAGCTAGATAGATAAAGAGGTAGCTAGATAGCTAGATAGATAGATAGATAGCTAAATAGATAGGTAGATAGTTAGCTAGATAGATAGATAGCTAAATAGATAGATAGCTAGATAGATAGATAGCTAGATAGATAGCTCGATAGCTAGATAGCTGGATAGACAGCTGGATGGCTAGATAGATAGATAGCTAGATAGATAGAAAGCTAGATAGCTAGATAGCTAGATAGATAGTTAGCTAGATAGCTCGATAGCTAGATAGCTGGATAGACAGCTGGATGGCTAGATAGATAGATAGCTAGATAGATAGAAAGCTAGATAGCTAGATAGCTAGATAGATAGTTAGCTTGATAGCTAGATAGGTAGATAGATAGCTAGCAAGATAGCTAGCTAGATAGGTAGATAGATAGCTAGATAGATAGATAGCTTGCTAGATAGATAGCTAGCTTGCTAGATAGATAGCTAGCTAGATAGATAGCTAGCTAGCTGGATAGATAGCTAGCGCCCTCCCTCAATCCCCCCCACCCGCTTTTTATCTAATCCCAAGCTTCCGCATCTGTAAATATTTGGGTGAACATGCTCACATGTAGAACATCCCATGCAAAATGGAAGGTGAACATGCCAAAATGTGGCAAATACCATACAAAATGGAAGGTGAACATGCCCACATGTAGGAAATCCCATGCAAAATGGAAGGTGAACATGCCAAAATGTGGCAAATACCATACAAAATGGAAGGTGAACATGCCCACATGTAGTAATTCCATGCAAAATGGAAGGTGAACATGCCCAAATGTGGCAAATACCATACAAAATGGAAGGTGAACATGCCCACATGTAGTAAATCCAATGCAAAATGGAAGGTGAACATGCCCAAATGTGGCAAATACCATGCAAAATGACAAATTCAAGTTCCAAACCGTTGCAAACACTAGGCAAATGGTACCAGCCAAGAAATCCAAAAAAAAATCCCAAACCTGCTCAAAAAAAAAATCCTAAAACTATTTCACACCCTTTTGGATGATCCTCAGTGACAGATGTTTCACGATTTGTTTCGGAGGGGTTGAAACCACCAATAGGCAAATAACACATGTTCATCACCAAGGTTGGATGGTACATGACTCAGCTCCCAAGAATCCCCCAGCTCAGCCTGCAAAGACCCGGAAAAAACATCCTTTCCTCACCAACCGCACCATCAGCCGCGTAGGTTCGCCTGGCGTCAAGGCGCTTGAACATGAGGTGGGAAAGGGATGGAAAGGGGATATTGGATCACAGCTGTGGCTACTGAAACTTGCTTCGCTGGGTTCCCTTTGAAACGAGGCTTCAAAATGACAGTTCTTGATGGGAAAATGACCAGCAACCCATGGATTTTTGGGGTGTTATTTTTGGACGCAGCCTAATGTGTAAACCTTTGCGAATGGTTGGTTGTTTCATTGCCATCGGTGGAGAGTTTATCCGCTATTACATTTTGTATTGAGAACTAGTTTCTACAAGGGCATATGTTTGAGATTAAGCAGAAAGGCCCACTTCCCAAGTGGCATAGTTTGCTGGATAAGATGATTGCAAAGGCTGAACATGATGCTTTGGTTTTCTTGTTTTGTTTGATAAGAGTTTATGCTCATGTGTATTGTTTTTTTTTCCTCTTGCCCTGCCCCCTTTGTTTGCCATGTTTACGCTTTTGACGGGCAACTTACTTGACCCATATCCCTATCCAAAGTAACTTTGGGGAAATACTATATTGCACATGCCTTAAAAATATTTAATAGTATATAATGTTTACTATTCTTGATTGTACTTGTTAAATCTGTGCTGTACTTGCTTGCACTTGTTAAATCCTCAATCTTTAGCTACTCAATTTCACTGCATTCCTGCTTGTTTTTTTGTTTTTGGCCCCAGTCCCCAGTAACGCGCGGACAGGGTGATCCATTCCCCCCTGTAGCAGCGATTTTCTCATCATTCTGAGTCTGAGCCGCGCCTGTAACGTTTTTGAGAGGGGGGGACGGGGGGGCAATAACGTTCTTCTGCCTTGCGTTCTTCTGTACTTTGTCCAGCAACTTGCAAGCCACTCCTGATGCTACGTTGCAACATCTTTTTCAAGCAACTTCCAAGACGCCCTGGCTCTTGATGTTACGTTGTGACATCCTTTTCAAATCTTTTCAAGTAACTTTCAAGACGCTCTTGATGCTACGTTGTAACATGCTTTTTGAGTAACTTCCAGGACGCTCTGGCTCTTGATGCTATGTTGTGACATCCTTTTCAAGTAACTTCCAAGACGCTCTTGATGCTACGTTGTAACATCCTGTTTGAGTAACTTCCAAGACGCTCTGGCTCTTGATGCTACGTTGTGACATCCTTTTCAAGTAACTTTCAAGATGCTCTTGATGCTATGCTGTAACAATTGTAACATCCTTTTTGAGTAACTTCCAAGACGCTCTGGCTCTTGATGCTACGCTGTGACATCCTTTTCAGGTATATAAATTCCAAGACGCTCTCGATGCTACGTCGTAACATCCGCTGTATCGTGAAAAGGCCCTCTTTGCTATCCAAAAGGATTACGAATGGCCTTGGCAATAAAGCTACGTTTGAATGGCAGGCATGGAGGAAAAAAGACTTCGGAGCACCATTACAGGGTGAACTAACCTTCTGGTGGCGCGTGTTTATAGAGGACTGGCGCTTTGTTTTTTCTTCTCCAACATATATAACATGTAAGTTATATCCTCGCTTGGTTATAACTTTTAAACATATTAATTAAACCCAACGTGCAATGAGGCTGAGGCAGACCTGTTCTGAAGGCTATGGAGGGAGGGAGGGAGAAAGAGAGAGAGAGAGAGATAGATAGGTGGATGGATAGATAGATTAGATAGGTAGATAGATAGATAGATAGAGAGGAAGAGAGAGAGATAGAGAGATAGATCGATCGATAGATAGATCGATCGATAGATAGATTGATAGATAGATTGATTTGATAGATTTGATAGATTTGATAGATAGATTTGATAGATTTGATAGATTTTATAGATTTGATAGATTTTATAGATTAGATAGATTAGATAGACTAGATAGACTAGATCGATTAGACCGATGAGTGGTCGATTAGAGATCGATGATCGACTAGAGATCGATTAGAGATCGATTAGACGTCGATTAGAGATCGACTAGAGATCGATTAGAGATCGATTCGAGATCGATTCGAGATCGATTAGAGATCGATTAGAGGTCGATTAGAGGTCGATTAGAGATCGATTCGAGATCGATTCGAGATCGATTAGAGATCGATTAGAGATCGATTAGAGATCGATTAGAGATCGATTAGGTTAGGATCGATTAGGATCGATTAGAGATCGATTAGGTTAGGATCGATTAGGATCGATTAGATAGATTAGCTAGATTAGCTGGATTAGCTAGATTAGCTAGATGAGATAGATGAGATAGATGAGATAGATCGGATAGCTTGGATAGATTAGATAGATTAGATAGATTAGATAGATAGATAGATAGAAAGAAAGATAGATAGAATAGATAGATAGATAGATAGATAGATAGATAGATAGATAGATAGATAGATAGATAGATAGATAGATAGATAGATAGATAGATAGATAGATAGATGATAGATAGATAGATAGATACATAGAGAGATAGATAGATAGACGGAGAGATAGATAGATAGATAGATAGATAGATAGATAGATAGATAGATAGATAGATAGATAGATAGATAGATAGATAGATAGATAGATAGATAGATAGATAGATAGATAGATAGAAGATAGATAGATAGATAGATAGATAGATAGATAGATAGATAGATAGATAGATAGATAGATAGATAGATAGATAGATAGATAGATAGATAGATATATACATAGATAGATATATATATATAGATAGATAGACAGATAGATAGATAGATAGATAAAATAGATAGATAGATAGATAGATAGATAGGTAGATAGGTAGATAGATAGATAGGTAGATAGGTAGATCGATCGATTTATACATAGATACACATATATATATATAGATAGATAGACAGATAGAAAGATAGATAGAAAGAAAGATACATATATATATATAGATAGATAGACAGATAGAAAGATAGATAGAAAGAAAGATAGTTAGATAGATAGATAGATAGATAGGTAGATAGGTAGATAGGTAGATAGGTAGATAGGTAGATACATAGATAGATAGATAGAATAGATAGATTAGATAGATTAGATCGATCGATAGATAGATAGATAGATAGATTAGATTAGTTAGTTAGATAGATAGATAGATAGAGAGATAGAGAGATAGAGAGATAGAGAGATAGAGAGATAGAGAGATAGATAGATAGGTAGATAGGTAGATAGGTAGATAGGTAGATAGGTAGATAGGTAGATAGATAGATAGATTAGATAGATTAGATAGATTAGATAGATAGATAGATAGATAGATAGATAGACAGACAGACAGATAGATAGATAGATAGATAGAACGATAGAAAAAATAGAAATTACTTTACTTCGTGTGATCCCCACCATGACATTTATACATTTTCTTACCGGCAAATCTTCTGGCATTCTATCTGACATATCTTCTGACATTCTATTTGACATTCTATCTGGCATATCTTCTGGCATATATCTGGCATATCTTCTGGCATTCTATCTGGCAAATCTTCTGGCATTCTATCTGGCATATCTTCTGGCATATCTGACATATCTTCTGGCATTCTATCTGGCATATCTTCTGGCATATATTCTATCTTCTGATCGCATTCTATCTGGCATATCTTCTGGCATATATTCTGATAGATATCTTCTGGCATTCTATCTGACATATCTTCTGGC